ATAGCCGAAGCTTCTTTCTCGATCTGTCCATAGTTGCGTTCCTCTGGGGTGAGTGATTTGGCTGCATGTGCCACAACTTTCTCCGAACCATTGGGGAAAATGTGGGATATGACTGTTCCAGTTCGGTACTCAGACGCGTCAGCAGCAACTATGATCTCCAGCTCCGGATTGAAATGCATTAGCAATAGGTCAGAACACAATATAGACTTGACATTATCAAATGCGGCTTGCCATTCAAGAGACCACACCAATTTGCGATCCTTTACCCGAAGTTTATTGAGCGGTCCTCGTAGCCGATGTATTTCGGGCACAAAGGAGCTGTAATGGCTGATCAACCCCAAGAGTGATCTGAGCTTCGCGACATTGTCAGGGGGAGGCATCTGTTTTATGTCACTTATGTTGGAAGGATCCGGACGACGGCCATCTTTGTCGATGATGATGCCGAGATACTTTACACACTTCATGCCGGTATTGCACTTTTCTGCTTTCAGGTGGAAACCGTAGTCGTTAACGCGGTTGAGAACTGCTTCCAGTCTTTCCATCAGCTCTCGAAAGGTAGCCCCTTTGATTATGATGTCGTCCAAGTAAGCTGCGACTCCTGATAACCCAGCTAACATCGTATCCATAATTTGTTGAAAAATCGCGGGAGCTGATTTAACACCAAACGGCTAACGGTTGAACTGGTAAAGACCTCAGTGCGTATTGATTGCTAGCAACTCCTTCGAAGCATTGTCGACTTCAATTTGAAGATAAGCATCTGATAAATCTAGCTTTGCAAAGTAAGCGCCACCACTGAGCTTAGCAAATAAATCTTCTGGGACTGGCAAAGGATACTGGTGCATTTTCAAAGCAGCGTTCAATTCCGTAGAGTAGTCAGCACAGATACGAACGGTTCCATTGGTCTTGACGACAACAATAGGTGCTGCCCACGCTGAATAGTTCACAGGTTGGATGACGCCGGCCCGCTCCAAACGATCAAGTTCCACATCAACAATCGGCAGCGCAGCGTACGGTACCGGTCTTTTGGGTTGGAATACGGGTTTGGCACCGTCTTTGAGAGTAAGGCTTGCTTTGGTCTTTGTGCATCTTCCCAAGTTGTTTTGAAACACAGACGGGAATTTCCTTCGTAGCTGCTCGATCAGGTTGTTGTTTGGTTCGTCACCTTCCGAAGAGGGCCTCGTATATCCTAGCCGGAGCGTATTGCAGACTTGACTCAGGGGAATGTCGAACAAGTGGAGCTACTGGATCCAGTCGAGTCCAAGAAGATTCAAATGTGACAGGCCCGTAATGTACACGACACCGTTTGCCCGAGCAGCGCCAAAAACCATTTCACACTGCAGCTCACCAGTGAGATTAAGTTGACCTCCTGAAGCGTTAAGTGCAACATATGTTCGGCTGATTGACGGAGCACCAATATACTGCCAAGTTTTGCTGGAGATAATTGTAATGTTCGAAGCTGTATCTAGCTGAAGACGCACTTGTTGCCCGTTCAGGTGAACTCTGATGTACTTTCTGCGAGCCACATGTTCATCAGAGTAGGCCGCTTGAACCGTACTATAGTTACTGAATCTAATGGGAACATTTGAATTCGGTCGCATATAGCTTGCACGCTTAAACTGCAGTCTGCATCGGCAGTGCGTTTCCTTATGGCCCCGTTTATGACACTTGTGGTAAGCACGTTTCAGGAATGGACACACATTTGAACCAAATGCCACTCACCGCATCTCCAACAGGCAGTCGGGGGCTTGGAATTCTCTCTGGGCTTTTCATGGTCTGTTTCACTTTGAGGTGGTTTTTAATACACTAAGACTTGAGGTTGATTGTTGCTTCTCCAGCATAAGCGTGTCATGCTTGTGGTTCAGCAATCGTTGGCATTCAGTAGTTATGGTCTGTAGGGTCATTTGCTGGTCTTGTTCAAGTTTACTCAGCAGCCTGGTGCGAATATCTGCATCCCGTGGGGAATGTAGGCCACAGATAAAAATCAGGCATTTGAACTGATCTGCCGTGATGGATTTGACGTCGAATTTTTCGCACTCGCGATTGACGATGCCAGCATAAGTGACGTAGTCATCAGCGTCCGCCTTGGTGATCTTCAGGCATTGATATCCCGTACTGGAGATGGATGACTGCTCTCCAAATATTTGGCCCAAGCATTTGATAGTCTTCTCGAAAGTGCAGTCTCGAGCGTTCTTAGGCAAAATAAGGTTGACATACCTGGAGTGCTCTGCTGTTCCAAGTTTCCTTAACAGCAATCGGACTTTCCAATCGTCATCATGGTCTCCAAGTTCAACACGGAACACATCTTCATAACGCTTGAACCAAGATTCAAAAGTGAGGCCAGCATCAGGGTCGTACGTAAATTCAGTAATGCTGTTAGTGATGGCGTCTACCGATGCGGACGGCTTGACGGTTGTAGACAGTGAACCGATCTGGATTGAGAGTTTGCGCGTATGAGTTTCGACCAGCCTGAGTTGGGATTCCTCAAATTGTGCTTGTTGATGAAGCAGAATGGCCTTGAGCTCGTCAGCCGATATGGGCATCTTGATTAGGCTTCAACCCGTCGCCAGCTGAAGTGTCCGTCCCCCGCCTGAATGGACGCTTGATTCCAAATCAAGCCCGAAGTCGCTGGCCCCCCACAGGACAGAGAGAAGACCGGATCGGACGAGCGGAGCAACAGGAATGAATTAGCAAATCACACCGTTCAATATAAAGGTAAAACGGAAAGTTCGTGAATGATATTTAAAGTGACCGTGGAAAGCTCTGGAAAGGTTAACTTACAGTCAATAAAGGAACTTCGACCTAGCGTTCATTGGCCGCTTCTCCTGGTTGGCTTTCTGTTCGCCCTAATCAGGGCGGATGCGTTTGAATCGCCGGCCGCGACGATGGAGTCCTGGCTTGTTCGACTCGCGTATTCCTTCCTAACACATAGGTTTTCGATTTTTAACAGATGGCATCTATCTTTCTAATTAAGAGTTGAGGTGAAGCTCACAAGTCTTTTCGTGAGAGACCTGTATTGCTTAAATTACTCGCGTGTTATGTTTTCTAATATTTCTGAACTTTTTGGCACTGTATTCTACGATGATGTTGCACACAGTTCGAATGACAGGAGGTTAGCTTTGATTGCTATAAGGGTTGTGATGATATTTATTCGACTCTCAGCGTAGTGCTTGCGAGGTAGATTGTATTCTCGTTGTGATGCTTAAATCACGCGTTTACTAGTGCAATTTTCTTAGTCGGTGGAGTTTTACTGTGATCCTCTTCATCGATATTGTTCGGGTGCGGTCTTGAGTGCTCAGCGGCTGGGTGACGATATTAATGCCCCTGTGAAAAACCGAACAAGATTTCTCTCTGGCTGTGCGCATGTCACTATTGAGAAAACATTCAACCCAGCTGCTTGCGAGTACAGCGCACTCACCCCAGTCTGTCAGGTTGTACGCTCTGTTAAGCATTTGTTTGCTTCGGTGTGCTGTCGCTAGCGCAGTAGTGCATTTCACGATGTGGTCACTGTCACGGAATGTGTCCAAAACCGAGGCTGTCATGGACGGTATCCCTATGAAGAAGCTAAAATCGAGGATGCTAATGGGTCTAGACATTTGTCTAGACGTGCTGTGTCCAGCATTTACATCGGTCAGAAATTGCTGCTGCTTTAATGGTCCACTCAAAATAGGCCGATGCATAACTAGCATCTTAAAATCATTCCCGATCAATTTATGTTGGTATACAGTGCAGGGACATTGCTAAGGACATTAGTTAAAATGCGAATCACATTGGGGGCATCCTGTGCTAGTTTATGAACACAACTAACTATGGGATGCGGTTTGCCGAACAAAATGGTTAGTCATACAAAATCCTCAACGAATTAAAGGAGAGGATCGTCCAGAAGGAAGGCATCATCTAACTTCAGTATATAGACCCTCCTTGGTCTGTTATATCGATCCTTCCTGAGCATTCGATGAGCTGCAGTAAACAGAAAGTAATCTGAGGTGTTAATTGCGCACTAAGCTACAGTAACAAAAATTATTTGTGGTCTTAGTAATACAACGAGGTTATGTAGAGCATGCAATTTGTTTAAAGTGCCCCCAGTAACAAACAGCATCTTGCAAATGTATCCTTACTGGTTAAGTCATCTGATTCTCAGGTAAGGGAGCGTACTGTAGATGGAAACCGGTGTACTAGAGTAAAAAACTGGGAGCATCAAAATTGGTTTTTAATTAGGAAAGCAGGGTATAGGATAAGTGGTCAAGTGAGGAAGGCGATGTTGCGTAATGCGCTTAAAATATATACTGACTAGCTGTGCGTCTGATAGGTTGGCATTCGTTTTGATGGTTCGCGCTATAGTGGATACCTTATTAGGTAGCGATACGCCAATCTTTTCCACTGAGTGGCGAGGTCAGTGCGGGCTGAAGTCCCGAAACTGGAATATGGGGTTGATCTTTGCAAGTAATCAAGTTTATCTTACAATTATCATATCTGCAGAACCACAGATATTTCTGCGATCAGAGGCGGAGCGTTGTGTCAGCGGGAAAGCGACCATTGAGTGTTGACCAAAGGGTAGGTGTTACGCACCCCCGTAAGCCAGACGCCCAGGTGCTTTATTATTCATAGTTGTGAAGCCTGGCAATGAATGATTTTTGCCCATTAACAAGTCGCTCATCTTTATTTCTGTTTGCGCTGATCGGTGCTACTGGCTGCCTCTACACTCCACCCAGTATTTTTACTGTGACACCGCTTCAGCTTATATATTCGCCGTTACTTATCTCCGGCGTACGCATGTTTACCTTCCTTGCTTTCAGCTTCCTAAGTCACCGGCCGGGCTCATTTTTCGGCTTTCGATTTGAAAATGATCGGGTTATTCATAGTAATCATGCTGTTACTGTCATTTTACCTCATGTCCACTGTCCACAAAGTACTCACAACCTCCTAATTTCACACGCTTTTCTTACGCTGTCGCTTCTTTTCTGTGCTAATGCCGACTATTTTCTTATTTCCTAACTTCACAGATAGAACTCATTTGCGCCGTCCTTGAAGGGGATTATGTTTTGCTTAGTTGGAAAATTGTGTCCCCTCTCCTCACTCAATCCCTTTCCGTCCTCGATTCAAGCAAGAACCCGATTACTAAGGTATGCATTGTTAACTGTTTCACAATTTCGGCCACCTACCTATACTCATGCTCACAGCTACCTCTGTGCTCTGATGACTATCGTTTTAATCGTTACCCATGTTCCTGATGTATTGGTGATTTTGCTCCAGCTTATCTGCTGCCACTTGAGTCAATCTTCTTACCATTAAATGTGTTTCCATTCTTAGCCTATTTACTGTCCGCCAAAAAAATTTACCCTTATATTTTTACTCGAAACCCGAGGTACCTGTAACTGCTTGTAGAATATACGACGATGTAATTGCACTTAACCACTCTCTATTTGACTTTGGAGTCTTCATGCCCATCTGTGCTGTATTCCCCTATTTCAATGTGTACTATTGCTAAACGAATCAACCGCAGTTGCACTGCCGGAAAAGCGACCCCCACTACGTTTTCGTGGGCACAGCGCCAAAGATTGATGATACCCCGTCTTGCGCGCAATTTGTTGTAAATACATGAAGATAGCTCCGGATTTGGCACCGTTTGGACTAATTTCGTCAGTCAGGCGCTCATCGTCGCCAACGCAGTGGCCAATCTAGGTTAATTGATCGGCTGCATGCAAATCCTCGTTATCAAGGTTCGAGTAACTTGCGCGACGCGTATTCTAAACATTGCCCCCCGGCTAGATTAGACCGCATAGCTTTTGTCAAACAATGAGACGATGTCTTAGGCTTTATCTGAACTAACAGATTGTCATCTGGGCAGATCCGAGCGCATGCATCATAGGACTTTGCCCCCTAATGCTGTCTACACTAAAATTGAACAGAAATTGTTGAACGACACGACCTTGAAAACCAGCCGTTTTCGAGGAGATGCGCGACTAGAGTGTAGACCCTGGCACTATATGAATTGTTGTTGTTGCATAGGACATGCAAAATTTTCGCATATTTCCTGGGTTTTATTACTGAATTTGTTTATCGAAAGCTACGGACCGAGAGAGTAGAACGCGACATTCAAATCGAAGTGCACTTCTGTAATCGGCTTTCGATACACTTGACTCTGCTGTTGCATAGTGTAGCCTTATTCTACTCAAAGGTATCATGTTTTTCTGTGTGGCTTTCTCCCATCCGTGCACTCCACGACCGACGGTTTCCTCCTGGTTTGGACTCATCAGGTAGAGATAGCCGAGCTGGAAGTGTAACTCGGCGCGTAGTGCTTGGCAGCTATCGCCATGATCACTGGGCTCTTGTGCTTCGCGAGCAGGGCTTGACGCTGCGGTTAGAAGCTGATTTTTAGGGTTTCTGAGCATCCGCCGTGTGTCTTGGATTGCGACACGCAATCTCAGTTGTGGCCTAGATTGACTTTGAAGTCAACCTCCACCAATACGCTCACTGCGACCTGATGAGTCAAAAGTCGGATGAAACCGTCGGTCGTTTAGTGCAGTGATTGGAGAAAGCCACACCGAACTCCTCCACTTCGGTAACGGCCCCACTGATCGTATTGACTGAGGTTATCTTCAAAGTCAACCGGGGCCACAATTGAGATTGCGTGTCGCACGCACAGCAGGTGCTCCAAAGCCCGAAAATCAGATATCATGTTCTTCCCATCTTTTCTCGGTGGTAAATCGGGTCGGTAACGTTGTCGTTATATATGACAGACATACGGTTAGCGCAGAGTTACCAGTGTTCATCTTAAACGTTCGTTTCTGTACTCCATTTGCTCGTTGTGCGATACGGTATCTTTCATATATGTGTTCGAACAGGCAGGTTGGTTCTTTACAGACGGCATAACCACTCACTATACACTTCGATAGCACTAAACCATCTTACAAGCATGTAAGCGCATTGTACCAAGCTTTTAGCGTGGCACATTTTTGAAATCGCGTGCAATGCTTTCAAGTCAGCGAGGCTAAGAACGTTGTTTTGGCGTCGTCGGCACTCTCATTGGTCATGGGACGTTAGCCAATGGGACACCGATTGGAAGCCCCCAGCATAAGCGACAGACAGTCCAATGAAAGTGGTGAAGCACCACCTTCCGTTCTGTTTTGATGCCCACCTGAAGGAAACCTCGATGATTGGTCTCCAAACTGAAACCGTCCAATGGGCAACTTGTGACCCCTGTCTAAGAAGGAGATCCTAGCTACCACATGATCCAAAGCCTAAGACGTAACTAGTGCGGACAGACATACTAACCAGCACATGAAGCGGTCTATAGTGCTCGGTAGTGGCTACCTGGTGGTGGCTTATTCAGCGGCCTAACCATGGTGGCGTAGACAGGCAATCTTCTAACTGGTATTCCGCAGTTCAGCAATGGCTGCTAGGCGGTTATACAATTTTGTGCGGTTGTTATTACAACGATCATTAGGGACATTGTTCCCATTGAAGTTGGTAGACCAACCTGAAGCTGAACAACGAAAGTTCTATGTTTGCTTCCTTCTATCACAGTTGGTGACTAAACATAAACTAAGAGGATTCCAAGTGTGACGTTGACACGACGTTAGTGAGTGTTCGTTTATCTCCACACCCATGGACGACTTTGTTAATCAGTTATCGCTTCAGTGTCTGCATGTATGGCGTTATGTGAAGGTCATAGGAACCTATGTATTCATAGGATAATTAGGCTTCACTTCCATATGGTCGCCCATACGTGTTGACACGCTTTGACAAATGGCTCTCCGAATGGCACCATTAGAAACACAGTCAATGCAGATGGAACTTCCCTATTACGTCCATGGACTGGAATGCTATCCTCATGAAATCGGCATTACTCAACAAAGGAAACACCTAAAGGGGCTACAAAGACTACCGTATTTATACATGCCACATCGTCCTGCTAGAGAAAACGTAAGGCTGATAATTAGTGGCGACGCACGCATTTTACTCTGGCAATTCAGGTGAGTACTTGGAACAGACAAACACTGTTGCCTCACCCACGGGCGTTCCTACAATGCGTTTGCAATCATTTACAAAAGCAACCGCGCCCACCAATCCTGCTATGGACCACAGTTTCAGCTAGTCTTAGAAGCAGTCATGTGTGCACGCCGTGACACACGTTGTTATCGACTTGGCAACTACTCGGCAACATTTTGTCATTGGAAAGTAGGTAATTCCGGAGGCATTGTTGAATGAGGAAAATTGCTCCAAACTCTATGCTTACTATGCGTATGCAATGCTCGTCGGCAGATCATATTGGGGCCGTAGGGTCACTTGGTATTCCAAGCTTATCAATCACTTGGAAGTAAAGTGTAAATATCATGTTGAAAAGCAGGATTAGTATACATCTTACGGCCTTAACATAACGGCAGGTTCATTGGTCCTGTAGCGGTAATTGATTACCAGAGTGACCCACAAGTGTGGAGACGAACGAACACTCACTAACGTCGTGTCACCGCCACACTAGGAACCCTCCTCTTTGGAACAATGGCTACAGACCCACTGATAGTCTTACCTACCCAGCGAACTTGAGCTTAGTATACAATGCGCCGACTACATCAGCACTATGTAGGTACGCTATTCACATGAGTGTACGGCCAACTGAAAAAACAGCACGAGAACTTTGCCGCTGTGAAGCTTTTAAAAATTCTATTTGCGAAGAACTCCTAGCTTTACCTTTATACGAAGTATTGCATTGTTTCAAATTACCTCACACTGCCTTAACAATCACACGCATATCCTAAGCGAAATCGCACACCTGTCGATTCTCCAGATTGCTCGCAGTGGTACGATTACGCTATGCATGTTGTATCACGTGTGGCCAGATAGACAAGGAAGGCAACCGTGCAGTCAACCCGTAAGCCTTCAAAGCTTCTCTTCCAACAGCCTGCAAGGGTTGCAGCCTCAACACAATCAACCAATCCGCTTCTTATCCCTACTCAAGTAGATTTCATCTCGCTCGTGTAAGCCTTCAAAGCTTCCCTTCCAACAGCGTACAAGGGTTGCAGCCACAACAAAACCTACGAGTCCGCTTCGTATTACCACTCACTTAGATGTCATGTCGCTCGCGTGGAAGTGAAACCTCACGCTAGATAAACAACATGACTAATCACGAATTATGCGGATTGGTTGATTGTGTTGAGGCTGCAACCCTTGCAGGCTGTTGGAAGAGAAGCTTTGAAGGCTTACGGGTTGACTGCACGGTTGCCTTCCTTGCCTATCTGGCCACACGTGATACAACATGCATAGCGTAATCGTACCACTGCGAGCAATCTGGAGAATCGACAGGTGTGCGATTTCGCTTAGGATATGCGTGTGATTGTTAAGGCAGTGTGAGGTAATTTGAAACAATGCAGTACTTCGTATAAAGGTAAAGCTAGGAGTTCTTCGCAAATAGAATTTTTAAAAGCTTCACAGCGGCAAAGTTCTCGTGCTGTGTTTTTTTAGTTGGCCGTACACTCATGTGAATACCGTACCTACATACTGCTGATGTAGTCGGCGCATTGTATACTAAGCTCAAGTTCGCTGGGTAGGTAAGACTATCAGTGGGTCTGTAGCCATTGTTCCAAAGAGGAGGGTTCCTAGTGTGGCGGTGACACGACGTTAGTGAGTGTTCGTTCGTCTCCACACTTGTGGGTCACTCTGGTAATCAATTACCGCTACAGGACCAATGGACCTGCCGTTATGTTAAGGTCGTAAGATGTATACCAATCCTGCGTTTCAACATGATATTTACACTTCACTTCCAAGTGATTGATAAGCTTGGAATACCAAGTGACCCTACGGCCCCAATATGATCTGCCGACGAGCATTGCATACGCATAGTAAGCATAGAGTTTGGAGCAATTTTCCTCATTCAACAATGCCTCAGGAATTACCTACTTTCCAATGACAAAATGTTGCCGAGTAGTTGCCAAGTCGATAACAACGTGTGTCACGGCGTGCACACATGACTGCTTCTAAGACTAGCTGAAACTGTGGTCCATAGCAGGATTAGTGGGCGCGGTTGCTTTTGTAAATGATTGCAAACGCATTGTAGGAACGCCCGTGGGTGAGACAACAGTGTTTGTCTGTTCCAAGTACTCACCTGAATTGCCAGAGTAAAATG